TTTTTTTTTTTTTTTGGATATTACTTCAGGCATGTACTGAATCTCTCTGAACCCTTACAGTTCCAGAGATTCCTGGAACAAACCCAAGAATCTTATGATTACTGAATTCTGTTTACAGATATCACTTAAAACACCTTTTGTAGATGATCAGCATACTGCTTTTCACTTAATGAAAGCGTAAATAACTGATGTCAGTGAATGGATTGGCTTAGTGAATAGAAAGGTTAAAGATAAATAATTAAGAGTGTAGCTGGCGGTTCCAGCACAGAGCTGCAAAGCTGACAGCTGTAGAAGTGCATTAAAAATGTGTATTACTGAATAGCCTGTGGGTCAGCAGGAGGGTGACCGAAGAAATGGATCGATAAACATCAGATGTTTAACCATGGATTTTAGGAAACCAGATGAATGAGACCTTGTGCATTAACAGGGAGCCACAGCAGACTTTGCCATCAGTCTTGGTCTTGCTGCTCCCTGTTATTACTGGGGTCTTGCTGCCATCAGACATTTAGGCAGTAGTGAAAGAATTCTGCAGTTGTATCTCACAGCCAGGGCAAAGCTTTTCTCACAGATTTGATAGTTTGTGTAAATTTTTGGAGAAATTTGAATGTCTCTAACACTTAGCAAAAACTGCAGCATTTCTGACATGGGCTGGCTAAGGGGAAGCAGCAAAGAGCTTCTTTCTGGGTCTGTGCTAGGATGGAGCTAGCGTGAGAGCAGGAACAATATTCACGTTAGTTTGCGGGTCCACTTAGGTCAGTTTATCACACTTCCACATAAATGAATTTTAATTCTTAATACTTGGTCAGATATCTGTGTAATGCACTGTTTTGCATTAAGAGGCTGGGTAAAAAGCCCACAGCAGGAAACTGAGTTGCAATGAGCAAATGCACTTCTGAAATTAAATTCACAGGATTCAGCATCCATCACATTGGACTCTGCATGATAGTTCTAATCCTCCATGACAGGAAGGCTCTGGACAGATGGAACTAAGGATGGAGTGTCTATGTAGTTGCCTTAACAACCGAATTTGCAATCACCTCGAAGAATGAAATCAGGTTTGTGTGACATGACCTATTTTATGTAACACTATCTTGACTGGCATTAATTATGCTCTCATCCTTTAATTCTTTATTGCTCCAGTCCTGTATCAACTTTCTGTTATTTTACCTTATTTATCAGGGATAGATGTCAGACTATCTAAGAGTTACATAGGTCAATTTTCTCTTTAAACATTGGCACAATATCAGCAATCTTGTTAATGTTTTGAAATTTCCTCAGTATTCCAAGACTCATTAAAATTAGCATTAGCAAGTAAAAGATCATTAGCTTTGGAGTGTTGACTTAAAAATATTATTCCATATGTATTACTTGTTTAAAATATTAAATAAATTGCATATGTCAATTAATCAGCTGCCACCTCTCCAAATGCAGAATAATTTACTGAAGACTGCACTTCATCTCCATCAACTGCTTTGTCTTCATCCAGTGATGTCCTTTGACATTACTGTTGGCCTTTGTGATACAATTTCTCCTTTTTTTCTATTTCTTCATACCAATTTCCTACATTTTCCCACTTCTAATAGTGATTGTTTACTCTTTATTCATTTATTCATTGCTGGTTTTAGCTCTTGCCGTTACATTATCCCTTCTATCCACTCCGCTCGTTTCAGTTAGCCCAGGCCACAAAGCTGTGTGCAGCAGCCTAGAACGACAGAAAAACGAGGCCTAATATTATCCAAGAATTAAATACCCGTCAGGACTGGCTGTATAAAGTCAGTCAGAAGTCCAAAGTGACCTGGTTTATCAGGTAAACCTCAACTTCATTATATTTCTCACATTCACGTAAATCAGGAATGTGGTGTGTAAGACGCGCGTCGGATCCAAGCCCAAACGGCAGTTCAGTGATGAGGTGTTAGCAGGAGAGCAGGGAAGAAGCCGATGGAGAAGGTGCCGGAGCAACACGAGGCAGCTCAACCGGCTCTCGCTTCTGCTCTTCCCCAGGTATCCCTCCAAGCACCCAACACAAAAGTGTTTTTCCTGTCTCCAGGGACCGACTTTGCTGATTATTTGTGCAATATTCTGTTCTCGTTGTGCTACAGAGAGTTGTTTCTTACACTTGTATCCCTATCAAATAGTATTTCAGAGTGAGTTATTTGTTGGTTGAATACTCAGATGGTAGGTTCAAGGCCAAATAATTTCTCTGCATGTTTTGGCTAGAGAAGCGAGGTTGTTCCTAGGTCACACTGTAAAGCAATTGCTTTGAGATTTGTTATTTTATGTGTATATCACTGCATCTCTCAGTTGTGTCTGCTTCATAACAAGCAAACTGAGCCAGACTTTATTAATTTTTCCCAAACAAGAAAGTAGAATTATTTGTTTGTGATTCAAAATGACTCCATTTCCATGCTAGCCTCCCTGTCATGCTACTATGGTTCTGTAACTATTAAACTCATCAGTAGTACCTTTTAAAAAGCAGTGTTTAATTTAAAAGCCCGAGGGAAGAATGACTGTTAAAATAATTAGATTTCCAGATCCAGTTTCCAGGTTAGGATATTATGGACACGTTTGTTCCTATCACATTTGCTTTGTGGTTCAGGATGAATTTTCAATAGATGACTGCGATAAGAAAGCAGCAATTCAGATGCAATTATATAAACAGTAAGATCAACCTGGAATTAGCCAGGAGAGTATAAAGCACAGACAGAGCTGGTGCTGGGTCACTGCCTCTCCCAGCTCCAAGCAGAATCGAGTTCCTGTAATAGGGAAGAAATCAGCTGATGAGAGGTTGGTCTTTCCAGACTTGCAGCTACGGGGTAAACCGGACTGTGCAGTGGCTTTTGCTATGGGAAACTAGCAGCTGGGAGCAACCAGAAGGTGATGTCCAGGTGTTCGCAGACAGTCATTGACAGCTTGTAGTTAGGGGATATAGCGCAGACCCTGGAATTGGCTTGGAGCTAATCCAGGATTTGTTCTCAGGATGCCCCAGCAGGTCTGGAAAAAGTCAGCTTGGAAAGACAAAAAGGGGATTTGCTGATTTGAACTCTTTGCTGATGTACTTTATTGTCATTCGCTTGAATCTATTATTTAATATTTGGCAGTGCTCCTGTATTTCATACCTCTAAGTCAGCTTGCAAGTAAAAAATACAGTGATATATCTGATGTGCACAGTTTGTTTTCCTCTCTTGGACATTATATAAGATGATTTCTACAAAAAGTATTTTTAAATCATTGATATTTTTTACCTTCTCTCATTAATTCTGGAGGTGATGTTTTCTCATGTATGTCGCATTTTCAGATCCTTTTGCAGGGAAGGAAAACCTCATGTTATTTTTCTGTGGCAGCGTTTTATCTCCCATTAGTGGGAAGTTCTACATAATAGGCTTTAATGGGAACAGGTGAACATGATCTGATGTTATTGGCCTGTTCATTTTTTTTTCTTTTCAGCAGTTGGTACTGTTTCAATTCAAGGTCTGAGATTTAGAAAGAGTTTGTCAGGCTCAAACTAAAAAAAAAGTTAAGATTGTTTCTACTCTGTAACTACCATAACTGTTCTTGTGAAATTCTGGAGGAAAAAAAAAAGAGGGGGAGTGGGGCTGGGGAAAAAAAACTTTATTTTAACTTAGGGTTTGTTTATTTTGTTTTGTTTGTTTTTCCCTCCATCTAGCATGAGTCCCTTCTTTCTGCTGTCTCTCCTCTTCAGCCTGGCTTTTGGTCGGACAGCATCACTCTGTGCTCCTTCTGAGTACATAATCCACGTGGAGAAGAGGGAGTGCGCCTACTGCCTGGCCATCAACACCACCATCTGCGCCGGATTCTGCATGACACGGGTACAAGGGCATGCTGTTTTAGGCAGGTGTTTCTGTAAGGGCCATCACTGCAAAACAAATGCCCATTTTTGTGTGTTTGCAGTAGGAAATGGTGTGAAAACTGTCCTAATCTAGTGGTGTTTGTCATGGATAGAAAAATCATTCTCAACATGTTTCCAGCTTAGCTCATTGTGGAAGTAAGGATGAGAAATGCCAAGCTTCCTGGAGCAAGGGGTTTAAAACGTCACTGGAGGGCCTCTATAGGGAGGCTGTGGGGTCAAGATGGAGCAAGTGAGAAGCACATTTTTAAATTACTCTTACTTAATGCAAATTACTTATGTAACTTCTCCTCCCACAAATTTTCCATGTGGTGGAAACAACGAGCCGCTGTGGTGACAATTATCTATGGAGAATGGAGAGTATCTCACCTACAGGCATGTCAGAGACTGTGCTTGAGTTTCTCTCGACACAGCATTTTAAATTCCACTTTGGTCAGTAGGTAGCCAGTACAGATCATGGAACAGTGGTAGCTCTCGAGCCAAGCAGCAGGATGCAGTTAAAAACACAAAAGCAAGGTGAATATCTCTGCAAGGGGAGTGAGCTCCACTCATACAGACTCTAAAGGACAGATGGGAATTGAAGGGCATTAGAAATGCCAGAACTAGTGCAAGAAGGAAGAGGTTTGCTTTTTGCGTACTGGAGAAAATGCTAAAGGAATTTTGGGTCATTCATGTGTGCTTTGGTGAAACAATGCATTTCTCTTTCCTTTGTAGGACAGCAATGGCAAGAAGCTGCTCCTCAAAAGTGCCTTGTCCCAGAATGTGTGCACATATAAAGAGATTTTGTATCAAACAGCACTGATTCCAGGTTGTCCTCTTCACACCATCCCGTATTATTCCTACCCTGTGGCTGTGAGCTGCAAGTGTGGTAAATGTAACACTGACTACAGTGACTGTGTGCATGAGAAGGTTAGGACAAACTATTGCACTAAACCGCAAAAGCTCTGCAACATGTGAGTGTCCAACAGCGTGGTGGAAATGTACGGCTGTCTACTCGCAACTGCACAGAAATAAACGTATTTCACAACAGGTTTGCAACTTGGTGTGCACAAAGTTTTATTCTAAAGATGAATCTCTAGAGTTACGTTAATGAACTGGATAACCAGTAGCATGCAAAAAAAAAAAAAAAAAAAAACCCAAAAAACAAAAAGGCATCACAGAATCCCATGCTTATACATAGAACCCACCTGTAATTTACCTGGGAGAGGGGAAATAATTATGCAGATGTATGAACCTTGGCTCATAAATGTCAGATATTATGTGAAGAGTTGCTCAGAGACAAAACATTTAATATATTTAAGAACTACAAAAAAAAAGGCCACATGTAGAATTTTATTGCTGAACACATTATATTTTGGCATATTCTTACAGCCTTCACATTACAACTGTAAACTGCAAGTTTAAGAAAGACTTGTTTCTTTCTCTAAGCATTGAAGGTATCAGTGAAATTTCAGGTCTTAACACCCTTCTTGAAAGTAACACCATCAAAATCCAAGTGAAACTCAAGAAACTCTCTTTCCCCCCCACAGGTCAGCTGGCCCATGCTGGGGGTGCAGGTGAGCTGAATCTCATGTGCTGCACATGTACTGGTGAGAAGTGCTTCCCAAGAATAAGAAAATAAATGTAAGCCAGTCGAATGTTTGTTTTTTCCCTAAAACTGCCACCCTCCTGGGAGTGCTACCGTTGCTTTAGAGCTGAGGGCTCAGCGACAAGCTAGAATGGACCCACCACTGAGCACGAGAGCTGGTTTCTGACCAGTTTGATGGATTTCAGTATATAGAATCATGTAGAACCCAGTGACAGGGTTGCAGCAGAAAAGGCAGTTTGGTTAAATTACCCCTACCCAAATAAATGTAACGTTTGCTAAAGCAAAAGCATTGCAGGCAGGACTACAGCAGAGACACAAACAGGGCTCTCCTGACTTCTGGATCAAGATTACCATTCTGCATGTCTTAGCAAATACAACCAGAAAAAAAAATGGCATGTAAATGAATTAAATGCTAGTAAAAAGATTTTATAAATCTGAAATGGAACTACTTCGGCCCTGTGAATGTACAGCTCTATACAGATGGTGTCCTGTCACCATCTCTTTACACGGGGTACTCTCTATCTAAAATAGGGGGACAAGAGATAAGGGAAAGGTAATACTCTTCTTTTGTAGCATAAATTGCAAGGAGAAAGTAACTCAGCTTGCCAAGCTGGTCCCATGTAACCTTATTCACATGTACAGGTGCAAAGTCTAAATGGTAATTTCTGCCTACTGGCATAGACAAAAATTAATAACTCAGCTCTAATCCTACCTATACTGCAGTTGTTATATCCATGGTAGAACCTGTTTGTGCCATTACCATCTATTAAACTGATTTATTAATTTCAGCTCCATTCAAAGCATGAGGAAGAGCTGAATTTTAATAAGTCTGTCTGGAAATATCTTCTGAACAACAAGATGAGTTTTTAAATTGATAACTGAGCTTTACATGTTTTGCATTTCAATCAGCTGAAATTGCCAATGTGTTGAAAATTCATTTTGCTCATTTTAATAAAATTCTACTTTCATTTTTTAAATGTAAATATTATATTCAAAAAGGCCACTTAAGTAAATCAGAGTAATTTAAACCAATTTAATCAAGCTGAAAAATTAAACTCTGACATATACGAAACATGAATAAAAAAAAAAAAAAGAGGATGTTCTCATGTCTGGCTAAGAAGTGTCTGAAGCAGTCATTGACTTGACTTCACTTTTATGAGTTACCAGGGTCAAACTGATTGCAGCACTTATACTTTGAAGCTCAGTAATACTTTTATTTTTTCTATTTTAGCTTTTTTTTTTCTTTAGAATTGTTACTTTAGCTCCCAAGAAATAAGATATTTCAAGTTGTGAAATATTAAATAAAGAAACCAGAATGCCAGGGTGTGTATGTTACAAATGGGACATTTTATTTTCCTATAAAAACGTGCTTTCCAGTTTTCAGCGTCATGAAGGGTTCTGAGCTCTCATGCTCTAATCCAAGTGTTTTATTTTGACTGCAGCGAAGCCTTTGCAGAAGATGAAGGGAATCTGCTAGGACGTAACAACCAAATCGTTGTCGCGGACGAGGTTGGCGGTATTTACGCGCTTGTCGCGGACTCCACGCCAGCCCTGGAATGTCTTATTTTGACTGCAGCGAAGCCTCTGCAGAAGATGAAGGGAATCTGCTAGCACATAACAACCAAATCGTTGTCGCGGACTCCACGCCAGCCCTGGATTGTGATCGTGTTTTCTCTGCAGGTCGGTGCTGCACAGAGGCCGTCGCAGGCCGTGCCCGGGGCTGCACGTGGAGACCTTCCCGGCACAGGTCGGTTTTGTTTAGCGAGTCGGGCCGGGCTGCCCCGGGCTCCCCCTTCCTCCCGCCTCGCCCTGCCAC